CTTCGGGAGCCCGGGCTCGCTGGGCATGGAGGAAAATGAAGTGGAGAGCAGCAGCGATGCGGCCCCTCCTGTGGCCCAGGAGGAGCCCTCGGAGAGCGGGCTCGGCATGGAGACCTCGGAGGCCATGTCCGCGGACAGCAGCGACGCTGCCTCGGCGCCCGTCATCCTCTCGCAAGCCGATGACTCCGGCGTGGGCCAGAGCTCGGACAGCAGCGGGGTCTCCCTGGTACGGGGCGGCTCTGGGGGCCCTTCCCCGGGCAGGGCCCCCTCCCCTGCGAGGTGCGGTGCCTCCGTGTACAAGCTGCCTCTGGGGTGGCTCAGCAGAGGCCTCCAAGCTGAGCCCCCGCGGCCTTTCTGCTCCCCAGGAGGAGGTGTCCGAGAGCAGCTCCAGCACGGACGCGGTCCCTCGGATCTACCTGCCAGACTCCTCCTCCATTGCCCAGTCCACCCTGGTCTCCAGCGTCTCCACGGTGAGCCAGTCCATCATGGTCTCGGAGTCCCCGCAGGTGCTGGTTCACTCCAGCGTCATTGCTGACGGAGCCACGATTGTGTCAGACTCCACCGCGTCCACCTCCTCGGACCTGGGCTCTGCCATAGACAAAATCATCGAGTCCACGATCGGGCCAGACATCATCCAGAGTGAGTGCCCCCCCGCCAGGCGCTGGCCTGAGACGCCCTCAGCCGGGGCAGCCGGCATGTGGCAGAGGCCTGGCAGCTGCCCCTGCCGCTGTCGGCCATCAGGCCTTGGCGCACAGCAGCGCGTCCGTGCAAGAGCGTGCTGCAGTCTCCCCATTTTCCATCCTGACCCTGAAAGGTCCGTCACGCTCATGCTTCAGCCTCTTGTCGCCCTCTTGCTCTCCCTTCGCAGGCTGCATTGCCGTAACCAGCGCGGAGGATGGCGGGGCCGAGACGACCCAGTACCTCATCCTGCAGGGACCAGACGATGGTGAGGGGAGGCTGCAGGTTTTCCTGCAACGACAGCTGCTTTTGGGCCTTTCCCACCTCCGTTCCTCTGCCACGAGGGGCTGTTGCAGAGGCGTGCTGTGCTGTGCTGCCTTGCATGGGAGCTCCTGGCTGCTCCTGTGCAGGGAGCAGGACAGGTGCCTTGGCTGTGGGGGAGGAGCTGGTAGCTAGTCCTGGCTTCTCCCGGCAGAGGGCACTGGGGAGCCAGGCAGAGGGCACTGGGTGTGGAGCAGTTCTCAGCTCCGGAGGAGGGTTGATTGGAGCGTGGGCAGGGGCTGTTCCCTTGGTGAGCCCTTGTTGGTGCCCCAGGTGCCTCCGTGGTGTCCCAGATGGCCACCTCTGCCCTGGCCAACAGCCTGGCTGTAGACACCATAGCTGATGGCCCCACCTCCACCTGCCTCGACCAGCCCGGCCCTGCAGACCCTTCCGAGCCACCTGAAATGCTGGACCTGCCCTCGCAGCCATACCAAGCCCAAGAGGCTGACGCCGGGGAGGGGCTGGAGCAGCCGGACATGGAGAGCCTGGAGGAGATGATGGAGGTGGTGGTGGTGCAGCAGTTCAAGTGCAAGATGTGTCAGTACAAGAGCGTCTCCAAGACTACGCTCATCAACCACATGAGGGAGAGGCACTTCCAGCCAGGTGGGCACCAGCTCGGGGAGAAGGCTTGTAAAGGCCTTACCAGGTCACGGGGTTGCTGCCCCTGGGGCAGGAGGGGCTTATATGCCCGGTTGGGGGCTGCACAGCTGATGGAGCAGGAGCAGGGGCTGCAGCTCCTAGTCCAGGGAGAAGCACCGGTGCTTTCAGAGGTGAGAGCACAGAGCAGTGCCCAGCAGGTGTGCCACCCTCATGGTGGAGTGGGGGGTGCTGCAGCTCTGGCGGGCCGGACGGGTCCAGGCGGCACACCTGCTCTTCAGCACGGCCCAGCCCAGCCAGACAGGGCGTCTCACGCTGCTCTCTGTCCCAGTGGCATCCACCCTTGGGCTGAAAAAGGGGCGGCCACGGAAGAGTGGCCCCTCCCCGAAGCCACCAGAGGAGGATGCACCGGAGGAGGAGGAGGACGATGACATTGTGGATGCTGGCGCCATTGATGACCCTGAAGGTACAGCCCCCTCCCTGTCTCCACGGGCCAGCGCGGCCTGGTGCTGCCAGCACCCATGATTAATGCCTCAGCCATTCCTTTTGCAGAGGACAGTGACTACAACCCAGCTGAGGATGAGCCTCGCGGGCGGCAGCCCAAGCACAGCCGCACCATCCCCACGTCCAGTGAAGAGCGGCCGCGCCGGCGGCCAGGAAGGCCCCGCAAGTTCCCTCGTCTGGAGGACATGCCGCTGTCAGGAGGTAGGGGAGTGGGCCTTGCCGGGGAGCGGACACCCTGGGCTGCTGAATGAAGCACGGGAGCTTGAGTCTGACCCTGGTGTGCTGTTGGTTAGGTGCCGAGGTGGAGCCCTTGGTTACGTCCCAGAGCGCTGCAAGCTGTGAGGCGCAGAACTCAGAGGCCACCAGCTCCTCCAGCTTGGAGAACGCGGCTGGCGACAGCCTTGGGGAGCCCAGCACCAGCCAGTCAGACTCGGAGAACAAGGATCCATCCTCTAACACGGGCCCTGAGGAGGCCGATGCTGTGCCCCGGAGGCGAGGCCGGCCCTCCCGCCGCTTCCTGGGCAAAAAGTACCGCAAGTACATGGGGCGCAGGTGAGGGCTGTGCTGCACTGCTCCGTGGCAGGGCCATCTGGCTGTGCCTGGGGCCCAGGCCAGGCGGGAGCCTTATAGCCACTGTGGCTCTGAGCTCAAGCTGTGCTTTGTCAGGTACTACTACAAGTCGCCCAAGCCCCTGATGAGGCCCTACCTGTGCCGCATCTGCGGGTCCCGCTTCCTCACGCATGACGACCTGCGTTTCCACGTCAGCTCGCACGAGGCCAACGACCCACAGCTCTTCAAGTGCCTGCAGTGCAGCTACCGCTCCCGCCGTTGGTCCTCCCTGAAGGTGAGTGCAGCCCCTCTGCCTCTGTCCCCGTCCCTGCCCCAGGCTGGGCGCTGGGCATGCGGCTCACAGCATCCCCTCTGTCCTGCAGGAGCACATGTTCAATCACGTGGGCAGCAAGCCGTACAAGTGCGAGGAGTGTAACTACACAAGCGTGTACAAGAAGGACGTCATTCGCCACTCCACTGTGCACAACCGGGACCGGTGAGCTGAGGCCCCCCCCATGCCCCAGCCATGTGGCCCCTTCCCCACCCCAGGCTCCTGGGTGACACCAAGCAGGCCCTCCCTTATGCAGCCCCACAGCCCGAGCAGAGCTAGCAGTGCAGCCCAGGGAGCCTCGTGCTCCTGCCCATGTCGTGCTGCTCTTGGGGGAGCTGCCTCTAGGGAGCACTGTATCCGCTCCATTCCCTCCAGAGGTGCAGGCAGCGCAGGCCATGTGGGGTGGGGTGGGCTGCTCAGGAGAGGGGAGCTTAGTCTGGGAGTGTCTGACTCGGCTTCTCTCTCCTCTCTGTCCTTTAGGAAGAAGAGGGCTGACCCGGTGAGTTCCAGTCATTCTCTGCTGGTGGCCTGGCAGGCAGAGCATGCAGGGGCCTGGGGCAGGTTAGCTGCCTGGGCAGGTCAGGGGTGGGGGAAGCTCTCCAGCAGATCTTACCTGCACATCCTCTCGCTGCAGCCCCCGAAGCGGAGCTCCTTCCCCTGCCCCGTGTGTAACCGGGTCTACCCCATGCAGAAGAGGCTGACCCAGCACATGAAGACGCACAGCACTGAAAAGCCGCACATGTGCGACAAGGTGAGGGGGTGGCATGGGGGGCGGGGCTGGGCCGGGCCGGGCCGGGCTGGGGAATGAGCGCTGCTTTCTTCTGCCGCAGTGCGGGAAGTCCTTCAAGAAGCGTTACACCTTCAAGATGCACCTGCTGACGCACATCCAGGCCATCGCGAACCGCAGGTGCGGAGGGCGGGGGCTGTGGGCTGCACAGTGCTGGGCTCTGTCGCCTGTGCTGCCCAGCTGGGCCAGGCCCCTGGTAATGGCAGCTTTGCCCCGGCAGGTTCAAGTGCGAATTCTGTGACTACGTGTGCGAGGACAAGAAGATCTTGCTGAACCACCAGTTGTCGCATGTCAACGACCGGCCCTACAAGTGCAGCTTCTGCCCCTATGCCACCTTCCGCGAGGACTTCCTCCTCTCCCACCAGGCTGTCAAACACACCGGTGAGGGTCTTGCCCCAAGCTGCACCCTGCCTTACCTGCCCCTGACCCCATCCGGCCCCTGCTGTGACCTGCCCTGTCTCTGCTGCAGGGGGGAAGCCCTTTGGCTGTGAGTACTGCCACTTCACCACCAAGCACAAGAAGAACCTGCGCCTGCACGTGCAGTGCCGCCATGCCGACTGCTTTGAGGAGTGGGCCCAGCGGCACCCTGAGGAGCCACCCTGCCGGCGCCGCCCCTTCTTCACCTTGCAGCAGATCGAGGAGCTCAAGCAGCAGCACAGCCAGGGCCAGACAGCCTGCGAGCTGGTGGCCAGCCCCCAGGTGAGCACTGGGACCTGGCCCCTGCTCCCCCCTGCCAGTGCCAGAGCCACGTGCTCACTTTCTCTCATGCAGGTCCCTCTTGGCCCTGTGACATACCACACAGTCCAGACCCTGCCAGCAGTCGAGCCCCCAGTTCTCACCCCAGACTCTCTGGGAGGGGCCACCATCATCTACGAGCAAGGTGAGATCCCGGGGCTGGGCAGGGCAGGGAGGGAAGGAGGGCTCCTGGGCAGACTGAATTGCGTTTGGCTCTCACAGGTGCGGAGGAGTCAGCAGAGCTGGCTACACAGACAGCGCTGGGCCTCCCGCTGAACATGAGCACCCAGCGGGAGCTGGCTGCGGGCACGCTGCAGGTGAGGCAGCTGCCGCCTCCCCTCCATGCGCAGCTGCACACTGACTGCCCCTCACTGACCTGCCTCATGTTCTCCCTGCGCAGGTGGCACTGGTGAAGTCAGACGGCTCAGGAGATGCGCAGGCCCCTGATGCCCAGCTCCCGGCTGGGGAGGCAGCAGAGCTGGACGCAGCTCAGCAGCAGCAGCAGAAGGTGGTGACGCTGCACGTGGCTGAGCATGGGGAGGCACTGGTGCAGGAGGCCTATGAGGAGGCCACGCTGGGCGGCCCCGAGCTGCAGCAGATTGCCATCCCCTTCGAGAGCACGGCTGAGTACAGCATCATTGCACCTGTTGGGGAGGAGATCCAGGCCACAGGTGCACTCTACAGGTCAGTGGCCGGCCAGGCTGGAAAATGGGACCCTGCTCTGTGGGGCTAGTGGGGAGCGCCTGTCCTCTCACCATGCCCCCGCAGTGGGGAGGAGTAAGGGCGGCCAGGCCCCACCTCACCCTGCCCTGTGCCCACAGCGAGGAGGACAGCCTGACAGAGACCTCGCACACGGTAGTGGTGAGCGAGGCCGTGGTGACAGAGGCGCTCAAGGACCATGGTGGCCACTACATCATGTCGTCCAGCCTCCCTGGGAGCCAGCTGCACCACATCGAGGTGAGTGGGACCAGGGTTCCCCAACAGCCCTGTCCTAGGCGGTTGGCATGGGACAGCGTCACTCTCAGCTCTTCTCTCCCAGCAGCTCGGCGGGGATACTGCCTTGGCCTCGCCGGGGGAAGGCCCAGAGGCCCAGCCCTGCAGCATCAAGTGGCCAGCAGTGCAGTGTGTGGCCAGGCCACTCCAGAAGGACTCCGCCCCAGACGGGCAGGAGGCTGTGTCACCCAGGGTCCGGTGGCCCGCTCTGCAGGGTGTGGCCAAGAAGCTGTCCTGCAAGATTGCTGCAGCCAAGAAGCTGTCATGCAAGATTTCCACCGCCAAGAAGTTCTCGTGCAAGATTTGCACGGCCATGTTCACGGGGCGGGCGGAGATGGAGAGTCACAAGAGGGCCCATGTGGGGCCTGACGCCTTCAAGTGTCCTGACTGCCCCTTCACGGCAGCCTTGTGGCCGGAGGTCCGGGTAGGCTCACCTCACACACGGGGACATGGAGCAGGAGAGCTGGGGAGGGCTGATGATGGCACCTGTCTGATCGTTCTTTCCCCCGCCACCCCAGAGCCACATGGCACAGCATGCAAACCTCCGGCCACACAAGTGCCCCCACTGCAGCTTTGCCTCCAAGAACAAGAAGGACCTGCGCCGGCACATGCTGACGCACACCAACGAGAAGCCCTTCGCCTGCCAGGTCTGCGGGCAGAGGTAGGGGCCTGCACAGCTGCACCAGGCTTCCCCATGCAGCTCTGACCCTCTTCTTTTCTCCAGCTATGCTCATGGGCTGCCTGTGGGGAGCATTGGGGTGAGGGGGGCCATCCCTGCCACTGGCTAGGGATGCCTCCGCTTGTTCGTCCCAGGGGCAGCAGTGTGAGGGGCCATGCCTGCGGCCAGCACTGCTCTGACCCTTGCTCTCTGGCAGGTTTAATCGCAATGGGCACCTGAAATTCCATATGCAGCGACTGCACAGCTCGGATGGAAAGCGGTCAGGGCCGCCAGAGCCCACAGCCCAACAGACTATCATCCTGAACAGCGACGAGGATGCCCTGGCCACGCTGCAGAGTAGGACGCTTGGCACTGCTTTTGCCAGGGCCTGTGCCTGGCCACTGGGAGGGGCCCTGGGCTGAGCACTTGGCACTGCCCAGGGCTCTGCAGGGTGGGATTTGGCCAGGAGACTTCTGGGGATGCCCGAGTCAGCACTGACCTCAGTGCTCCATTGAGGCTGTGGCATGGCTCCCAGGGGAGGCTTTCTTCTGGGGTCACAGCTACCCCTGATCATTTGGTGCGGGGCCATGGCCACGTGCTGCTGCAAACTCGTCTCGTGGTTGAGGTGGGGGGCAGTGGCCTCTGGCTTCTGTTGTGCGTGCTGGGGTAGATCCCTCTGCCCCTTCCTGTCCATGACAGGAGTGGGCAGGGTCGGGCACGAGGTGGCCGCGCCAGGGACGGGCACAGAGGCCGGCAGCTCGCGGGCCGGGCGTGGGGCTGAGGCCCGTGTCCCCCCTGCCTGGGCGCCCGCCCCCAGCGGGCCGCGGCAGGGCAGGGCAGACGACCCCGCCCCCCCCCAGCGCGATCCTGCCCGTCCCATGCGCGGCCGGGAGCGCGGCTATCCCGGGGACTGCCCCCCACTGCCGCTTCCTGCAGCCCTGCTGCCTTGCTGGGGTGTGGTTGCCCTGGGGTGGGGGCTGGAGCCTGGACTGGGCTGGGCTGTTGTCTGCATCCATGTGGGCTGACACCAGTGCTCTGCCTCCCCAGCAGCGCTGCAGTCTGGCCAGGCCGTGCTGGCTCCTGAGCGGTTGCAGCAGGCCCTGGGGCAGGAGCACATCATCGTAGCACAGGAGCAGAGCATCACGAGCCAGGTGAGTCCCCAGGCACCTTCCCAGACGCCATGCAGTCTCCCAGCTGGGCTGTTCCCAGTGTCATGCTGAGGTGCTGGGCCCCAGGCTCCACAAGCACTGACAGCCGGGTACTTGCTGCCTTGCAGGAGGAGGCCACCTACATCCAGGAGATCACGACGGCCGATGGGCAGACTGTGCAGCACTTGGTGACCGCCGACAACCAGGTGAGGGGGAGGAGGGCTGTGCAGGGTGGCCGTGCTGGCAGGGGCAGAGGGTGCTGAGCGTATCTGTGCCTGCAGGTCCAGTACATCATTGCCCAGGACGGCGTGCCGCACCTGCTCCCCCATGAGTACGTCGTCGTTCCGGAGGGGCATCACATCCAGGTCAGTGCCCTGGTGCCCTGCCAGGCTGCGTGCTCAGGCCCGTGGGTCCAGGATTGCGGTGCATGGAGTGTGGGGCTTCCTGTCCCCTGGAGTTCTTGGCCGCTCCCGTTGGGTGCTGCCCAGGGCCCTCAGATGTGGAGTCCTTGGCACTGCTCAGGCTGTCACGCAGGCTCTGCCTTTCAGGTCCAGGACGGGCAGATCACCCACATCCAGTATGAGCAGGGCAGCCAGTTCCTGCAGGAGTCCCAGGTAACGGAGCTGCAGTGTGTTGGGGTGCTCCTGGGGGGGTGGCCGAGGAGCTGCAGCCGTGGGCACCCCAAGTAGAGGGAAGACGTGCTCCTGGCCAGGCTGTGACGTCCCCCCCCTGTCCTGGCAGATCCAGTACATGCCTGTTTCCCCGGAGCAGCAGCTCGTGACCCAGGCCCAGCTGGAGGCAGCGGCACACTCGGCAGTCACAGGTAGAGAGCGGTCGGGTGGGACAGGCATGGCACAGGCCTGGTCTCCCTGGCTGACGGGTCCTGCAGCTGGGCCCTGGCTCCTGACAGGCCTCTCTGTGCCAGACGTGGGGACCGGGTCACCATCTGCCACTGCTCTGAAATGAACAGCTGGACTCGGCCCAGCCCCCTTCCCAAGGGTGTCGCTGCCCTTGGCGCAGGGCACAGGGGATGTCTCTGGCTGTGCCAGCAGCCAGCGGTGCTGCCTGCAAGGGGACTGGAGATGTGGCTGCAGGGAGGGGCCAGGGCCCTTGCAGAGCACGGTGGCTCCACAGAGCCTGTCACAGCCCCCCGTGCTGGCCTTGCCTGTGGGATTGGGCCTGAGCCAGCCTCTCGGTCCCCTGCTCCGTCCTGGGGCTGATGCCGTTCCTCTTTGCAGCCGTGGCCGACGCCGCCATGGCGCAGGCCCAGGGCATGTTCACCACAGAGGCGACGGCTGAACAGATCCAGCAGCTGCACCAGGGCATCCACTACGACGTCATCACGCTGTCAGACTAGTGCTGGGGCCCCAGCCGAGGAGCGGCACCATGCCAGGCCTCCAGGGCCCGCAGCTGCCTTACCACTTTGGGGCCACGAGGGATGGGGGGGCCCCCGCGGGCTGTGGTTTGCCGTCAGCCAGCCGCCCATGCTC